GGATATGAGTTGAGCTGAAGTGTTCATTGAATTTCACATAGGCTTGCTTTCCCAAAAGTTGATCTTATCCAGGCACCAGTGAACTGCAGTTTCGACCTCACATCTGTCTGTATCAACACCCTCAGCGGGAATCGAACCGTGACAATGCAGAATGGCAGCTTGACATGTTAACCACTCGACCACATTGCCACGAGTGCCCTTGAATCACAGGGCAGATGTGAATTTCAAGGAACGCCAGGCCTTTTGCCATATCATATTCTTTGGTGGGATTGTCGATGAGGAAAACATATATTTTCCATAACAATTGACTACGTTACTTATTTTTTGCATTTAAGTATTGTTTCGAGACCACCACCCTTGAAAATGCACATTTGCCCTGTGACCCTAATGGCGGTCATTGCTGTGTTGCTGAGTGGTTAGCATGTCGAGCTCCCATTTTGCATTGTCGCAGTTCGACTCCCGCTAGGGGTGTTGATAAGACCGAAACAGCAGTCCACTCCAGCCTGGATGAGAACAACTTTTGGGAAAGCAAGGCTATGTGAAATTCAATGGAAATGTCAGCTCAACTCATTGAATTCTTCTTCTACCAGTCCTTCATCGCCTTAAACGGAATTGGGTCACGAAAACAATATTTAATTTGAAAAATACTTGTGGTATTATTGAAAAATTTAATCACCGAATATGAAATGGAGTGAATACGCCTCATATATATGATCTATTGGTTGTCTCGAGAACCTATTTACAAAAGAAATAATTGGATTTAAAATTATCTCGTAGATACGAAGATCAAGATGGTGTGGCTTTTTGTTTGTTCGCAGTCTTCTTCAGCTTTACAGTTTTGCTTTAACCCTCGTTTCGCAACTTAGCCGGAGCGTCAGGGAGACGTAACCAGTCACATATGCTTTCTGGCGATTGGCACAAGTGGATGTGCGACAAAGTGGCGGAGTATGAGGTGTGCTAGTTCAACTTTCTCATAATCAGTTGAGCAGACATAATGTATCCGTTGGATTTCGTATGGCCTTGCCTTCCCGATCCGACTGTATTGGACTGGCATTCTGATCAGCACCCCCAGCGGGACTCGAACCATGACAGTGCAGCGTCAAATCTCGACACGTCAACCGATACGTCACACTGCCACCAGTGCCTTTGGGTCACAGGATATATCCCATATCGCATTCTGTGATGGGATTGCGGATGAAGCAAATTGTTATTTGCTATAGCAATCGACTATGTTACTTATTTTTCGTTTATAAGTAGGCTTTCGAAACAATCAGTAGATCATATATTTAAGATGCATTCATCCAATTTCCTCTAATCGCCTTTATATGTACGTATATGCACGAGAATGGCAGTGACAACCAAAAGTAATTATAAAGTGACCACGCTTAAACCAGCATCAGCCCCTTTTTAATAAATATTTTTAACCATTACCCTAAATGGCGTACGCAAACTCAATTTATTATCCAACAATTGCTGACAATCCGAGCAATTCTCACATCGAGCCTTTCTTATTTGTCGTGAGACTTTTCCCCAGCAAGTAAGTGGTTCGTTGGATTTTCTGTTTATTTTCCGTTTATAAGTAGTCTGTCGTGACTACCAGTAGATAGGTACCAAGACACTCCGGTATATGCTATAGTGACTGTCTCGAAAGCCTACTTATAAACGACAAATAAGTATGAGATGAGAAGGATTGCAGTAGCAAATAGAATTTGCTTCATCGACAAGCCCACTAAACAATGTGATATAAAAAGATCTCTGGCCATCCTTATGGCATTCGTGGCTGTGTGGTGTAGCGTCCAATGTGTCGACATTTGACGCTGCATTGTCGTGGTTCGAGTCCCGCTGTGGATGAGAATACCTTTTTAGAAGGCAATGGATGCATCATGTCTGCTCAAATAATTGTGTGAAAATTCAACTACCAGTCCCGCTATCACCCTAAACGTAACACTGTGAATGCATCTCATACCCTACCACTTGTCACACATCCACTTGTGCCAATCACCAGAAGGCATGTGACTTCCAAATCATGTTCCTGTTGGTAGTGTCGATGAGGCAAATTTGTATTTGTATTTCATCCTCCTCAGTTTGAGTATGCTTCAAAACTGTCCCTACCTGCCTGCCAACAAAGCGGTATGCGGTAGCGAGAACAAATAAATGTTGGGATTACTTCCATTTCGAGTAGAAGTGTTGGGTGAAGAGATTCGAAGGTCAGTTCCACCAGAAGACCAGCTGTTGATTGGCTTTACTGGAAGATTCATGCTGATGCTGTTTCCGAGGCAATCTCCTTCGATTCCGGTGAGAAGGTGTTCGGACAAGGTGCGTTCCTCTAAGTCTTCCTGCCAACATGACCAAGTTGCGATAACAAGGTCAAACAACTTCTATACCACGAAAGGAGACTGCGACCACACAAAAGGTCACACCATCTTGGTTTTCATACCTTCGAGACAAAAGAAGTCGATCTTTTGGTCGACTGTTTGGTCGACTTACTTTGTCTTTCTGACGAATTGTAGTGTTGCGCTAACAATCGCAAGGCTTATTGACGATGCTGATGAAACGTTTTGAAATTCACCAAGTCCACTGTCCGACTCTGAAGATTTTCGTGACTAGTCGTCGTGAAAACACGAGCAAGTTGTGAAAATAAGGTTGAAAAACTTTTATACAACAAAAGTTTTGACT